AATGCATTGTTGCATGTCAGCCACTATCCTCCCAGTTTCTTGATTGTTTGTTATAATTTGATTCATTATATATTATTTTCCTAAGGCTTCACGAGCAACTACGGCGAAGTATTGAAAGCCAGATGGAGGTACTGAAGAGAGGAGAAGGATCTGAGCTGGACAAACAGATGATTGAAAAAATGCAATACCAGTTGGACTTAATCATTAAGGTAATAAGATGTTTCWTCTTGTGGTCGATRAAGTTGTTTSTATAAAGTTGTTTGTATAAAACAAATTGCACCACAGCTTTTRTTGTCCTCTTATTGACATACTCTTGATTTATAAAATGTTTATAACTTTAAAGTGAACCCACTCGCTGCACTTGTGGGTTTGAACTTGAGTTTTGAATTTTATGACGTCATAGACATCAACAGTGTGTCAATAAAAGGACATTAAACACAAAACCGTTAGCAATCTGTTAAACTTTGAATTTATTGACATTATCGTGCATTTTTTTCAGTTGATCAAATTTAATATAATCATTCATAAATGATTTAGACTACAAACTAGACTGCATGCATAGAAATTGTTGTGAGGTGTCTGTAAGTGGTTGATAAGATGTCAGTAAGTGGTTGATAAGATGTCAGTAATTGCTTATAGCTATATGGTAGTATATTTTCATTTATCTTTGTTGTTTTAAGGAAAAAGACAGCTACATTGAAATGTGGGAAACTGCAACTAGAGAACTAGAGAAGCTGCAGGACATTGATAGGGTAAATATTGACTAAACAAAACAGCCAATTCACACACAAACACAAAAAAATAGCAGACAAAATTGAAAATTACAGGTCGTATCAAAATTTTGACTTTTTTCCACCAATAAAAAATAATTATTTTACTGGCATTGTAATGGATAAACAAGTTCAAAGGACAACAAGGACAAGTTTAGGTTGTTAACTGATTTTGTTTCGCTTTGGTGTAAAGCCACAGGCTCCTCRGGCAACTTGTTTTCTAATCGAGAAAAGACTATTGGATGTAGAAATTAGAAAGACTATGACACACAATCTATACACAATCTCGTTCCATTTCGGCTAGAACACAAGAAATCAAAAGAGGGTTAAAGTGCATAGCACTTGACCAGCAGAGATTAAAAGCATCTACTGCATGTGCATCGAGCTCAGGTTTACCAGATATAAACACAGAAGATCAAAAAGAAATTCACACAGCGATAGTTACTTAATCATATCTTATCGATATACAAAATATGTATAGATTTGATTTTTCACATGAAGCGCCTCTTAGAGCATACCTATTGGCCCTGTAATAAACTGTCATGTTCCTTTGTCTATTTTTATTTCTATCATGCAGGAGAGAACATCTGAAATTAGACTTAAAAGCAAACAAGTGGCATCTTTACAGGTACAGCAAGCATTACCAACCATTCCTTCCARGTGATGATTATTTATTATCTTTATTCAATCGTGTAGAGCGATTTAAAGAAAGCAAGACACTTAGCTGAAAGTCTCCAGTTTGAGATCAAAAAGATGAAAATGGTGGGTTCAGTTTATAATCAATCAGCATGTTTATTGAAAATCAAAATATAGTTATTATTCTTGAATAGTTAATAACGTATTATTTTTGTTGTTTAGGAATATGATAAATTTTTATCTACAGCACAAACTCAAGACCAGGAAATAGATAGCACAAGAATAGAATTGAGGTACGTCAGTCTGATAGTATGAGGCATAGGAGAATGTTTGAATGGTTAGCATCGTTGTAAGAAACCCATGTTTGGGATTAAAAGGACCACAAATATTGTTTAGATACAATTTCAAAGCTTGGCAATAAAATAAAGAGATATTAGGTTTAATTGTCTTGATGCACTTGTAGCTTCAAGGATTCCTATAATGTAACTAAGACAAATAATCACTCATTGTGTTAAGTATTTCACTAGACTGCAGACTTATAAGTGAARTAAGTTAATAAATAATTTAAGTATAGTTTTTTCTTAGAGAAATTGCCGTACAAATATGTTCAGARATAAATGGGGCAAACTGATAATGCGCGAATCACTTTACAAAGCACTCTTGTCATCCCACATTGAATACGCATAAAGTAAAATAGAACCGCTTTTGGCTGTTCACTGAAATTGGTTGACATCCTGCATTGGTCAATGATCAGGTTTCAAACCTGAGACCTTTGCTAGGGTCATGGACCTTTATATCTGATAAAGGTCACCCTTATTTATTAGTATTCTTTATATAAAGAATACTAATAAGGAGTGTTTTATCAGATATAAAGGTCCATGCATGTGACCAAATAGGCTCATTCTATTGGCCTAGCAGCTCATTAATTATTTATGAGTTTTTGAATTACATTTTGTATTCACATAGAAAATGTAAAGCGGACTTAAAAGCAAGCAAAAGTCAAGTTGATGAATTCAGGAAAAATGTAGAACTTCTAGAAAAGCAACTGATACCAAAGGTAAARGAAATTATTGTTTTTGTATGTTTTATTTTAAATCAAAAGTTTGATATTAATAGTTTTCACAACATGTAATTTATAATGAGAAAATAAGTACAAATCTTTTCCTTATCGTGTTATATTTCAGAATTCTGAAAAGAATATTGAGAAAGGGAATGCTCCTAATGATGTTCAAATAGAAGAACTGCAGACATTTGCCTTTGAGCTTGAAACTAGGTATCACATTTCTTGCCTCCATGGCTTCCACTTCCAGTTTTTGCATGGTTGTCTGAGTCGATAATACTCTAACAATTCACTGTAGGGTTACTGTAACCCTCAGAGARCCCCATTTTTGTTTGGCTATATTCAATAAATTCTTTATAGAGCGGTTTTCATTTGAGTGGGAAAGCGATGGTACTGTACCGTGACTGTAACCAAATAGGCCATTTGCAGGACTTGGTCAGGTGTTTCCTAATCACATAACAACAAGATTTTGGAGAGCAAAGAAGCTCGATTCCATGCGATTGATGGGGTACTAAATTAACATGRTTTTTGTGACTGCTTTACTTTTGGAATTCGAATTGTTTTCATCTTTTATGCCTTCCTAAATCTGGTGTAACCAAGCGTAACCAAGTCCTTCAAATGCCCTATTGCGATGTCTGATTGGATTTTGAATAATCAGACTAGTTTATAGGAAAGTGAGTGAGTGAGTGACAAATCGTTGAATCAGGGAATAAGTTCAATTTTCGCATCATAAAAAGTAGGTGAAATAACTTTCGGGTGTTAATCCTTGGTTGCTGTCTCTTCACTCCGACGAAGAATTAACGTCCGAAACGTCAGTAAGTTCATTATTTTAAGAGTGTGAATTTGTCTTATTTCGCATCTGTTTCGTACACCGACGCAGCTCATAGTAATTTTCATCCTTAGTTTCTACCATTTTTCCTTGTCATTATTAGTGCTTTATTTCCCATTCAAACTTACATTCGATCAGATCCAGAGTTTATCCAAATCTGAGATTGTCCGAGTGTGATTTTAAACAGCACAAACTGTCAATGACTGTTGTAAATGACTGATATTTTTCTTTTATGTATGAAGACTGAGTTCAATGATCAAAGAAGTTGGAAAACTGAACTCCGAGAAGAATAACCTCGAAGAACAACTGGAAACTCTTCAAACACGGAAGTAAATTATGAATAGACACAGTCATATAGTATGATATCGTGCTGAAAATTTGTTCGCTCGTTGATTTTTTCCTTGCTTCGGATTCCTGTTTTACAAGTCTCGTTATACTCTATTACTATCAATTGATATTGAATTGAATCGTTCGTCTTTCTCCCTATTTGTTACTTGTTCCTCTGAGATCGACCGAAAACCGAAAATTTGAGTCACAACACAGGAATCGCAAGCAAGATAAAGAATTAATGAGCGAGGCTTAAAGCAAGTCTAAACTTAGTACAAAACTCCAACAATCTAATGCTACGTTATAGAGAACCATCTTGGATTGGCCAAACGATCGTTTCCTAGCATTCCATAACATACATTGGTAGAGGATGTTGAAAAGAAAGATATGAGAGRTGCTTTTATCACTCGAAGATAAAGTCCGTATCTCAAAGCGACCATGCAATATCCTCTATATATTTAGACATCTCCCCTAACAAATTCTGAAGGTTTTCTTCTTTATTGTAGCCTTGAAATGGAGAAGCGTGAATTTGAGGCAATATCACATGTGAGAGATAGTGTTCAGATGGTAGAGAATGCAATATTAGAACGTGATCAGGTATGAACCGTCTCGCTCCTAGCCTTCCCTCATGTTTCTATCAGGCTATGTAAACGCGGCAAAATTGTTTAGAACTAAGTATATATACATGATAATATAACTACAATATTACCTAGTGTGCCCCTTGGTTGTTGCCCTTACTTCTTTTTTTTTGTTATAAAACGAAAGCAAAAGTGATGCCCTACTACCTAGGGACAACCTACATCATTTAAACAGGGTCTAAAACCAACTGCTTTGGTGACTCGAGCATCTATTTTCTAAAAAAACTGCCAGTTATCATCATTATTTCGCCTGTTATCAATCGAATGYGGTTAAAATTCTAGGCGTTACTTCGAGAGCAACAAAAAAGTCAAGAAGCAAGTCGACTACAGGACGTCATAAATAAGTTGCTAAAAGAGGCTGGCAAAAGAACAAAAGACGAGGTGACTATTTCTTACTTTAGGTTGACTATTTCTTACTTTAGGTGAGTTAATCAATAGCTGAAGTAAACTAAGGGTGTCGAGGTCGGTCCTTTTGCAGCCTTTCAAACTGCCTGATGCTTTTTGAATTCAGTTATGGTAGAAATACTGACACAAACCTTTTTAATTCAAATATTGATTAGCAAATCATACGAAAATTCCAATAAAACAATGTGCAAAGTTATAGCGGTTTTAAGTGGAAAAATTAACAGTTTATGTTGCTCCCAAACATTTCAGTATTTATCTGAAACTTAGAAGGGCCATATTCCCTCCTGAAAAAAATGAACTTTTACATTGTGGTGTCTTGTTTGTAATAGGTCGACTCTATCAGAAATCAGTGCAATAAGAATTTACAGAAACTAATGGAAGAAATACAATATCTTGAAGTGGTAAGTAAACGACGTATACACAGGAAGCCCACTAGTCGCTTTCTGAACTTATATTCTATAGGATATGATGAATAAGGATGAATTCTTGAAATATTTGAGTATAAACCTTCGAGAAAATAACTATTAATTCCCTCTAAGAAATGGGAATATTTCTCCGTGTTTCGAATCATTTCACTACATAGTCTCATATTTGAGTCGTTTTGCTACACATTTATGATCGATTTGCTACAAATCTTGATTATGGTATAAATGGCAATAAAATGGTACTGTAAATCCGGCTATCAAATAACGCTTCAAAATAAGACATTGATCTTATTTAAAATTTCCTGCACTATTCTTGTTCTTGTAGTGACGCTTTTGACATCAACTTGCATACAATTACACACAATAGCTTTGAAATTCACTTGAGATGACCTGTCAAAAGTTTGTTTACTTTTTTCCAAACGACGCTATGAATACTAAATATTATCGGTTAAACTTTGTGTCATGGTTAATCGTTCTCGTCTCTTATGATTTAAATCCTTGCGAGCTTGTCTCATAATATGTACAACAAGATGGCCAAAGATCCTTTTTATGTCAGAGATAAACGATGGATTTTCGAGTATTATCCGGTATAACACGCTTACTACAGCTTCTATGCCATTTACTTTYTGTTAGCTCTTGACTAAGTTATTGATTTGCAGTATTTTGTACTTTTTATACGTCAGAAATATGTGATTTCACTCCATACTTGCAGAGAAACCAGACCAAACTTTCTCACGCATTGTTGCTTTGTCGTAGGAGGGTGCGGAGAAACAGGCTCAGCTGGAGCGAGCAATGAGAGAGAAATCTGCTGTTGAGCAAGAGTTGGAGAAGGTACGATAGACCGTTTSTCAGTCCCCCTTCATACATAGGTGCATCTTCCCTTTCAAACGGGTTTCATTTAGGATCGTGTATATTGATTCTGCAATTGTTACACATATGATACAAACTGATTGCAAAACATGCAAAATTGCTGACAACTGCAATGCAATTCAGCACTCGAACTATTGTTGAGTCATTTTGAAGATTGACATTATCGTCATCATTAGCCTCAGAATCATCATTGTTATCTTTGACTAGGTTTACCGAGAAGGTCCGTCTGAAATAGAACGGGTTGGTTTAACGTTTGAAGAACTCCAGAAAAGAATAGGAGCAGCCGAGAGAGCCAGAGACGAGGCGTCGATATCCAATGACAACCTTAGCGCTGCAATCAAAAGACTAGAAAACAAGTTAGTGTTGGGGAAGATTTTTTTGTCGAAATATTTCAAACYGTGTCTAAATCGTTGCAAATTGAATAACTTTAAATTTCAATTCAGACATGAACAAGAGAAAGCACAGGTAAATAACGAGAATGAAGAGCTGAGAAARAGGATAAACAAGCTAGAAAAGGAATCCGAAGAGATGTCCGGAAATAGGTTACATTTAGTTGGTAAGATGAAAAAAATGTTWAMATTAACAGGAACAAAACCTCAATTCAAAACAATGTGCGAACACTGATTTCAGATGAAATTGATAAACTCAAAAGGGAGGTCCTAGCAGCGAAACAAGGACGAGAAGCTGCCGAGCACGAGCGAGAGACCGAGGTATGTCTAACAATATTGATTAATCCCTTTAAACTCCTTTACTTATTTAATCCATCCGCATTAATTAATTCTTATTCAATCGAACATTTGTAATCCATTTTCAGTACTCTATGTCTTGTCCTATCGGCGTTTCTCATTCATCACAAWATTTACTTCTCTTACGTAATATAAAAATTAGGTAATTTAAGTAATCCTAATAGCGGAGCTCCATAAGAAAATAATATTTATCAGAATCCACTACTATTTCAAGAAAATTCGAGAACTAAAATAGTTCATAWCAAAATAGTCTCYTTCACGGTTACATACGTCATCTTGAAAGGTAGCCGTGCCTTTACATAGAAGCGAGACGACTTTTGAGCGTGCAATAGTCCATATCACAAGCCCGCCATTTTGAATGGTTTTGCAATGTATCATGGGATATCTCCCTTTCTTCATCAAAACAAATCGCTAAAATCGTAAAAACACTAATTAGTTTCGATTTTTCCACATACGAAATATGTTTCTTTTCATTTTTGCTAGATTTGCCTAGGTTTTTCTTGCTGTATTTCCTTGCATGTTGATATTTGTTTGTTTTTTCGCTTTTGAGATTAACTACAATATCAATATTTCCCAATGTTTTTCGAAAACTGAGTCTACGTTACAGACAACTGGAGCACTGACATCGTTTTTCACTTGATTACTCATTTATCAATCCCAAAATGCACTGCGTCACAAGGCTTTCCGCGGGTTGCGATATGGACTATGATAGAAACCTTCTTTCACGCCTATAGACAATCGTTCACAGGTATCTATTATTGCACGCTCAACGGTTGTCTCACTTCGATGTAAAGGAACGGCTACCTTTCAAGATGGCGCAGGGAACCGTGAAGAAGACTATTTTGATATCAAACGAACTGTCTACACGCCTGACTTCTGGGTAAACAGTGGCAGTCTTGATGTTCCGTAAGAAAATGAGAATCATTGAGCAAATATCCATTTGTTTTTCCTAGGTTGAATTTAGGGTTAGTCTTCATAATGACGATAAAATTCCCATATCACGTGTAAACTACAATGTAAAAAGATAGCTTTCATGAATACACATCATATTATTTAATATTATTTCTACATCATAAATATTTAATAATATTTCTTAATTAAAACACGCCGGTTTTTTAGATCCGTAACATGTCGAGGTACAGAATTTCTAGACTGTCTAAKCTATCTGATATAGAGTGTAGATACAACGCGATAGACATGCTTTCTAAGAAGTCGGGAAAAATGCTGAACACATGGCATTACGATAAAATAAACAAGAAACCCATTGGCACGTAAAAACTAGTTATCGCTTCAAAGATCATCTTCAACAACTCGAGAAGTCGAACCCGGGACTATAGGGTAGAAAGTCCACACTAGTTGTCATCCACTGAGCTACGACCACAAATGCCACGACCTCGGGCCGCTCGCCTGTGCTTATCCAGAACCGAAGTTAAAATAATAAGAAAATAAAGCTATATCATAAATCGTTTATTTGTTAAGTAATTATAATTTGATTCATCGTATCGTTCCGTCAATTTGTCTACACAATCGATATTTGAGTTGTGTGGTCATTGGCAGCTTGATCTCTTAGTTATGTTACATATCATCCGCCCATCTATCATAGGACTGAATGACGAATTGCTTTTTTCCCACAGGTAGCAGCTCAGAAAAAGAAGTTTGAACTGAAGGAAAAAGATTTTGACTTAAAACTACGGAGTGTYGAGGAGATGAATCGTAAATCTATAAACGATCTCAGAGATATGTTAAACACACAGCAAAAAATAGGAATCCAGTGAGTTATTGCATAATTAATGGAACCAAAACTGTTTGTTGTGTTCGTCTGCGAATCGCCGACGAAGATAGTGTTCTGTGTACCGAGTGGATTTCGCCTTCGCGCCGTGGCCGTACTGTGTCATGGCAGTGATGTACTGAATCTTTATTTTTATTTGGAATCACTAGAAGGCGAGGTTCAGTGTCGTTTCACAGTCATATGAAATTTTCCTCTATGTACTTTCTTCTTTTATTGGATGTTTAGGTTTGAATTTTAACGAGTACGCACATTGAATACGGTGTGGATTGAGCTTATAATATTTCTATTTTGTAGATGGAAAGAAGAGACTAAATCTTTGACAGAAAGATTTGAGAAAACCGTCAGTGAATTAAGGTAAAAAAGWCGCTGGGCAGTTCCTGTAATAAATGGAAACTTTATTTGTTTATAGATTCATACAGTTGAAAATCTCACTACGTATAGGCAATTTACAACTGGCTACTYGAATTGATAAAWATAYATATATATGAATTTACAAATACTGAAATCAAACTAAAACAAACAAACAGTTAAAAAAAATGTTAGTATTTCAATAATTCAGGGCTATCCCATGTCTTATTTCTACAACAAAAAATATAGTAGGTTGATCTAATAGCGAGATTGATCATTTTCCTTATAATATAGCGACGTTGTGTTGTGTCCATCCCAATGTCATTTAACATGTCCAGAAGGGTGGAGCATTCATTTGAAAWAATGCACAGAGAACTCATAGAGAGGTTAATAAATTWAAYTCTCGTATAATTGCTGCTMAGCTCGTTAGTCATTTATAATAATAATAATATAATTGTATCATGTGATATTTGACATAAACTGTTACTTCTTTTATCTTATTAGCTCCTGTCTTTAGTAAAGCTACAACATCAAGTGCAATTTCTTGTTTAACTGATAAACACTTTTTTCACTATTCAGACAGCAAGTATCCACGCAAAAAAAACGAAACGAAGAGCTTAATAACTGTCTCGTAGACGAGCGTCAACAGGCAACACAAGTAATGTATAAATCCATAAATCAACCCAACTAAGCAATCAAACGGAAACCTAAAAAGCCGTGCACGCTCAGRAAAGGATGCGCAAACAATCAGCCAAATCTAAACAAGGAAATACTGAGTACTTCCAATTTTCCAAATAGGCACACCATTCCGGTAGTTTTAGTTGAAAATGATATCATTGTGCAAATGGCCTATAGCAATGTGTTTAGGAAGCCACAGTGCTCACAGTTAAACAAATAGCAAATTCTCCTTCAAAAATAATGACCATTTTCCCGAATTTGCATGACTGATCACGAAGCAGTAGTTTCAACTCGGCTGTTTGAAAATGTACACATCACAATCTATAATAAAAAGAAATAGAGCCATAGGCTTCTCTCTCTGGTCACCTAGGTTACTATCGGTACCTGTAAGAATCATCGTTTTCAGTCTGTAGGCAAGAGTGATCATGGTTTATTGCAAGCGGTCTGCTAACAAGGAAATTTTTGCAATAGGAGGATTAAGGGATTTCATATATACCACGGTATTTGTCACGCATTGTGCTAAACATCGAAGGAAGTAGGAAGTAAATGAGAGCTGCCATTTCTTGCCAGACCACGCCCTCCCCTCTTCCCACAACGTCYCCTGTAGCTGCCATCACGGGGCAGGCTAAAATGTTATCAACAAAATTGAATATTAGAAAGGCGTGCTAACTGAGTTTGACTTAACCTATTTTAGACAAAGAAAAAACTCACTGCGGCAAAAGAGAACATCARTAAATTACAAAAAATGGCAGCCGACGCAGAAACCAGGTCCGAGGCAGCCAGTGCGCAGGTAGGCAACTCGGTGTGATTACGTGACTGTTGGCAACGATGATGTTGCTTGTATTATATATTTAATTAATTTTTATTCACTTTATTTATTCAAATATCATTTCCAATTCCTATCGTAGTTTCCCGTTTTTTCTTTGCGTTTTGCCGCTTTGAGAAATACAAGCGACTTGCGGTTTTGAATGCTTTTTAGGCGTTTTTTACGGCTTTTCCTCCAGTTGTCAGTCCCCTCCTCCAGCCGTCTGGCTCGTTCCAACGGTTCTCCCTTAGAACGACCCATACAACGAATGCGAGCTGTCTTTATTAAACATAGGTACTTGGTTCGCACAAGCCTTGAAATTCTTTGCAAGTCGTTACAGATTCAAGGTCTTGAAAAAAATGCTTGATTTTTCTTGGATTTATTAGATTGAAATCATTGAAATCGAATAGAACAGGATAAATGTTATAGGCTCAGTCTCCAGCCGTCGGGATTTCATGCGCCCGCGATACTCTCTCCCCTGACGGCTGGGCRCATGRRGTTCGCTATTGTMADTCTTGACCAATCAGCGAGTGGCCCCCGATATTTTGAGGGGCATATCATTAATAAATTAGCAGGCAGCAGTGTAACAAAATGGCGTACAATTCGTCGTTTGAGATTCTCTTTGAAAGTGCTTGTTTGAAGGCTCTGAAGTCGTTTAGCTTGGACGAATTTAGAAAAATACAGCAAAAGGCTCTTAAAGAGATTGTTCTTGGAAAAGATGTCCTTGTTATTCTTCCTAAACTGGCTCGGGCAAATCTCTTATTTTTCAAACAGCGCCACTAGTGTATTTTGCTCGTTTTTCTGGCAGATAATACATCCATTAGGATTATTAAGCCCTGCACATGTTTTACTTGGGGTAATTTACATTCCTTTCTCTTTTTTAAAGCGCTAACTATTACATTATATCGCTACTTCGCGAAGTTTTCATTTCACATAATTTCCCGCCTTGTAGTAAAACCTTTACGGCTGTTGTCAGATATTTCACTTCCGTTCACTGAAAAATTCACTTCCGTTACGTCATAATATGCTAATTACACAAAAACGTCACGGACATGCGCGACACGTTTCGAACCCCATGCGCCCAGCCGTCAGGGGAGAGAGTAGCGCGGGCGCACGAAATCCCGACGGCTGGAGACTGAGCCTAGATAAATGTTSACCTTCCCATGAAATCAAAAGTTCCCACAATGAACTACGACTCAGTGCCGTGCAGATTCGGTATAATATCGGATTTCTTTCGTAGAAAAACTTTAGAGTAAGATTTTCAGTCAATCAGAGACTGTAAATTAAGTATCCTCGGTGTGCACGCGTTGCCGTTGAGTGCAGTTAAWMCTTCACCAATAGACCTACTAGTTCTTTAGAAGTGGAATTTTTGTTTACTGCAGGTATCAACACTGCTCAGTCGAGAACATCAGCTTTTACAAGAACGGAAATTACTAAATCGAGAATTGGAGAAACTTAAGCTTGAAAGGAGTCGGCCTGGTAATGGCCACAGCACTCGTGAACCTCAACAACGATACACAAATTTACTAACCAATGGTATCAACGGCGCGCCTTCCCGTGATCCACCAGTGCGTCTGGACTTAATGTCACCTCGCAACGTAGGGCTCTATGGAGATTTGGATGGGTTTGAAAGACGACCAATAGAAGATGGTTATTCTTATAACAGATTTATTTTATGATATCAGTTGGATTTAGGAATGTAATAGTGTGCTTCATTATCAGACAAAGCGAACTTGGTTTTGTACCGCCAAATAGGTTTTTTTAACAATGATCTACAACGCTATGGTATTCTTCTTAAATTCAAGATATTTCTCTTCCCTTTCACACAAATTCAGGATCGAAATTAATGAATACTCTCGTTCGTAAAGTTGTATAAAAATTGGATTTGTATTAAAGTACTCAATGTGAGTGAGCAAAACTTTATATCGACTCCTTAAAATTCCTTAAAATGCGACAGTAGTGAATAAATTACTAGARAGCAATTTAAATAAATTGATAATTCTGAACACAACTAACACAGGCTCAAGTTCACAGTAAAGTGAGTGACTTAGTGAGTGACAGATTCGTGCCCCTCCAATAACTCTTCGATTGTTTCGCAATCTTCGAGTTAACAACAAAATTCCATTACTGATTTCGGCAACAGCTAGCAATATAGCTCTATGTTGTTTTAATCGCATTAAAATCGCGGGATAAAACAGGTCTGTGATAAGGTATGAAACACTGGTCAAGTGATGGATCGAGTGTGCATCATGTGTCTTGTCCACCACCACCCCACCACCCCCTATCGTTTTTTATTCGAAGACTTCGAGACCCATCGTAAATGATCGTAAATAATAGCGAGTTCCCCGAAGTGAAAAAAAAAGTCATGGATAAAGCTTTAAAATGCAAATTTCTTCAATATTAGGAAAAGGAAACATACAAAAATAAACAAAAAAGGCTTTCGAGATCTTATATAGGTATAATTGACTTTTCATATTGATATTAATACACTAAAAAGCTTTATTACAAAGAAACGCTTTATTATTTTAAAGTACAGGAATAAAACATTTTGAACAAGTTTATTATTGATCTCAGTCATCTTGGCTTGATACAAGTAACACTCAGAGTTGTGCTTTGAAATCGCCCATCGCAAAAAACTTGATGGTTAGGCCAAATAATATTAGAAAAATCAATCACCACAAAATTCCACAGGAGAGCGAAATCAAACCACAGAGATTCCCGCCAATTTTGTTAACTGCTTCGACGCGTTTGCGCACCCGGGAGATCGATTTTCAAATTTACTTTCAAGCGTTTTGAGTCTACTTTTAGGATTAAGAAAAAAAGAAAATAGCATGACTTTTCGCTAATATTAATTAACTAGTATTTGTTCGCATGTGTTCGCATTGTATTTTTAAGTTTCTTAAAACAGCATACATCTAATAAGGTTGTCCTTGAATTGAAATAGAAGTACTAGATAATCATTCTCCGCCATTAGGTATTACCTAATTTTTATATTATATTTACCCTACCGGATACGTAAACAACATTAGTCGCTGTCCTATTTACCAAGTAATTAATATACATTATAGTATGTGTACAATGTGTTAATAATATGATAATACCAATCTTTATTCGGGAAAGACTCTGCGTTTTTAAACGTTTTTAAAAATATTATAGTAGCTCAAAGTTATATTATTTTTGCACAACAAGCTTGCTATACATTTACACAACAAGTGGCTATATATTTATTTGCAAATAAAGCGTTAGAAATATCAAAATAAAAAGTATTATTGTTATGAACAAACAAATAAACAAACAATATAGTCTTTACAGCGTAATTCAGAAACATGCATATATACAAAATATATACAAATACATCCTTTAAACTTCTAATAAGAAGTCTAATTGTACCCACCGTACAAGGCGAATTCCACTTTATCATATATGTTTTTCACTTTGAAAGACCGGTTCTATAGATAAGTTTGACTCGATCTTAACTTTTTGGCCTGTCAAAAGAAATGGCGTCCATTTTACGCAAAATGAAATCACTGTACCGAAAATGTACAGTATTAGCAAGTTGTAGTTTATCTGTCTTATCATTGGACGATTTATGCTGTGTACTAACTGGCGCGGGTTGTTTTTTKACCACGTTTGTATCTCTCTTTCCTGCCTGAGGTTTAGCACAAAATCCAAACGTAATTCCATAAGGATCTAAAATAGGTAGTTTTAGCGAATCATCGTTCGGATTATCCACTTTTTTCTTCTTGGAGGGTCTTGCAAAAGGATCGCACACGATGAGTGGCACATACTTATTTACTGGTAATAATGGAAGCTTTAGGTTGCGAAAATCAGCCTTGGAAAAGATCTGTTTGTAGGGAATCTCGTGAACTGTTTCYAGCCTCTCAGCAAAGCAAACTTTGTTCTGTTTTTCGAGGTCGTTAGCGATTTTGTCGCTATGTTTGAGATTGCTTTTTGGTGGCTCTGTCAGAAAGGTTTTTGAAGACAATCTTCTGAGCGTGTTGACCCTGGTCTTTGTAACAGTCATGCTGCATAGAAACGATGTTTTACCAATTGATGCGTCATCTTCTGCCCAAATATTTTAGTTCATTTTCTTTTAATAAATAGCAGCAAGTTTGGCAAGTCTTCGAGCGTCTTACTTGGGAGTTTGGATTAACAGTTTAAGTTTCGTGCTCACTTTTATGTCCATAGTTTCGACCGCACGACTGACCGTCAACAAACTAGTTTAAAGAAAACAAAAGCGTGGTGTGTGATATCCAGTATTGACTACAAAAGCCCCATTCGGATTAGACCTTGATAACTATCATGCCTCAAGGGACTTTTTTGTTCATCAGTATTCAGTGTTGTAGTTGCATCTTCACTTCATTAATTATCTCAACACTAAAGTCAACAAATTTGCGGAAGTTTCGTTTGAAAAAACATCAAAGAATAAAAGACATTTCGCAATATAAAACACATTTGTTCCCAATTAACTGATTGCTTTTAAACAATTTTTTGCGGATGTTCTTTCGAAAACGATCTGTTAAGCGCGCATTAATTGATTGTAMATGACGCTAATTGGCGCAGTTTTGATGTTTGCTTTCAATTCTAACAAAACTGCTTCACATCGTGAAGAATTAAAACAATTATTGACTTCATCACACCTTCACTATTTATATAAAGAGACTGTTATTCAGTAAAGAGCAGAAATAAAAATCTGTATTCATACCGTCCAATCAGCGCGTATAGCATTTCTCACGTKTGAATCAATCACAATGCAGAAAAATTGTAATCAACCAATCATTAAGCGACGTTCAATGGATAGCAAAATATCTGAAGCAAAGTAAGACGAGTTTTCTTTATTCAAAAATTAACATAGAGAATAAAAAAGACAAAAATCTTAAAGAATCAAAATTATAGAAGTTCATTCAATAGTTGACGTGACGGCTTTTACCGACATTTTGTTTGGGTAGTCAAAGTCTCGCAAACTAACAAGGATACAGTGTGAAATCGATGTCAAATAATTCCAGTTGAATTCCTATTCTGAAAGAATCATTAATTTCAAACGTTAGATACTACGAAAAGGAGTTGATGACCCCGGAAATTACAAAGAAATGTATAGAGAATTCAACTGGAATTATTTGACATCAGAAGTGAATAACCATCTGGTTATGAGCTTCTGTTTGACATCGATTTCACAGTGTATCCTTGTTATTTTGCCTACCCAAACAAAATGGTGTCAAAACCGTCTCTTGGTCTATTAACACAAAACGGGTGAGATATCTTTTAAGTATTGTAGAAACACACAAGAAAATGACATATTCATACTTATTAAACAAAATAACCTACCAAGTTTAAATTGGAGCGCTTCCGGGCTCGTTTACCGATGAAAAAGTGAGTTTGTTGCTTGCATAGTTCAAAAAGCATATTAAGAAAATATGCCGAATAAAAACAGTCTCGTTATATATACTATAAACAGATTACAGGGCGTTGTTTGTATCATAAACTCATTCGCTCGTTTCTCGATCGTTCGTTGTATGCTGCAAACAACTTCTGAATAAAATCCCGTAGAAGTAGCACCTTCCATGAAATTATTGATATTTACTGCGCAGGTTTACTGATTCTAATRTCGTCGCACAAGATTCGATTAACTCATCGTTGGTTTGGGGAGGAGTAGAATAGGCGATGGATCCCTACTTCTTCGTCGTTCACTCTTTTCTTCATCCTCGACTAGTCTTCGTTTACGCTCTTCTGCTAGATTCTGCCGAAGACTCGGATTCAGCCCAGGAAGTAGGGAATAAGAAKAAGAACGCTCGGAACCTACACTTTCGATTGTCATTTCTTTTTCATCTCTTTCRATTTTGATAGTGAAAGCCTTCGAAATGACATCAACGCCAAAATCGCTTCTTTTCTTTGGACTTGGACTTCGCGACGGCTCGATCTTCTTCCGTATAAACTGATTGAGACCTTTAAGTGCATTTTGCCGTGACGTCTGGTTGCCTTTTTTGAAATCCATTTCGTGTTCCACATAGTCKGCCCCTAGTTTCTCCTCTTCTTCTGTCATGCGAAGTCCAATTGTGTATTTGATTGCAAACAGAATTAACGCCGCGGTGACAGCACTCCAGGCAGCAAGAGAAACCACTGCAAGCATTTGAACCCCAAGAAGATAGCCATTACCTCCTTTGAAGACTCCCTTAAAGACAGAAAAGGTCTCTAACTGATCTTCCTCGATGAACAGACCAACAGCAAGAAGTCCCCATATTCCTGACAATGTGTGAACTGCAATACAGCTGGTCGGATCGTCGATTCTGAGCTTGAACATCARAATACGACCAAAACAAGCACAGCATCCACCAACACTGCCAATTAAGAGACTTTCCCAAGGATGAGCTATTGGACAGATACCTTGAAAAATACCGTCATCAATACATCAATTTATACTATCTAGAAAAGGTTGGGGTGGAATTAGATTTTTTTTAAAAATTGGAATTTAAGTTTTGTTGCGTTTTAAGCAAAGTCAATGGAAATACTAAACAAAGGTTGAAAATTCGCAGCAACCGACAAGACCGAAACGCGTGTTTCTCAAAATTTTAGGGCTTCATTACGCTGAATTTTTGCACAAGACAAATTAAGGATYATGCAGGTAAAAAAAGGTAGAAGTAACTGGAAATAAGGTAGGAGTAACTTCCTCTGGTTTCCAGGTTACGGCACGTGGTACAAATTACAATCAGGGATTGTGGGATACCTCATGAATAATTAATGATATGAGAACGAGACGTCAAAGCCATTACCCTGTCGAGTCGCCTTAAAAATAATTTCAAACACTGCGGATGCATTCATCTCTTCATCCTTTCATTCATTCATCTATTCATCACACGGAATTTAGCCATTACCTGTAACTGAGACAAGACCGCCAAGAATTCCAACTATCAAGTACGTGACATCTACTTTTCTGTTGTACAAGATATAGCTGTGCGAAATAAAAATAGAACTTACATTGATCATAAGTCTTTATGATTTTCGTAAATTGTGACCTGTCTGTTTCAAACTGTCTGTCTATAGCTATGAACACTTCTACAACTTACACCTGATAGACCCCGGTCGATAAAAGCGGCTCATCCATTTTCTACTGACTGACTTTTGGATGTCCCTGTATATGTTCGTTCTCATTGTATATATCGGCTACTAACCTGTAGAAAAACGCAAATATGCCACCACCAATGGAAGAATTAAGTGTGTTAACAGCGGATCTGGGTAAATGGAATGAAGCGTTTTTTTAGTTAAAAGTAAAGCTTAATGATTCGTTCTAGAACTATAGAGCATTATAGAAAACCAGCCGACTTAAAGGTTAAAAGAGTAGAATGTGAAGATATATGATCTTGCCAGAATATACCTTGAATTAGATTACACCCGATTTCAAATGAGTGCGAACTCTCGAATTTTTTTTCGGACGCTAAACTTTCACTCGACCGTCATTCACTCGACCACTTGGTAACCTGGCACAGCTTGAAGCGGGTAAAATTATCCAAGTATAAAAACCATGGTTAATGTATGTCTGTGGGCTAAATTCCTACGGTTTGTGATCGCACTACAAAACGAACTTATTGTAAAAACTAGTTTCGGTTTAACTTAACTTTCTCAGCTCACAATTACAACGAAACAGTTGAAAAATAAACACTGACAAGGGCGCGCACTTTAAATCGCTTTTAKTGTTCGTTGGCTGTTCTTTGTTGATTTTACTAGTTTACTGATTAAAATGAAGAGGTTATTGGACGATATTCGGTGGAGGGTTATTTACCATGGGGTCCCTGGAAATAGCGTTACAAGTTACGAAGTTACAAAGTTACAAAGTTACAAAGTTACGAAGTTACAAGGTTAAATTCTGTTACATTTCTGTCAAGAATATGTCAACAACATGTCAACAAGCCCTTCTATTATTACTATAT